AATTGAGTAAAGGAAGAAAGCAAAAAGTTTAGAAATTTTGACTTCAAACGGTAATGCCTTCTACAGTTACCACTGACCGTATTCTCTGCCGTCTTCACCTAATTATACCGTCTTGCTCTTGTCCACTAAAATTCTATCCGGTTTGCCGTCTACTATCTGTCTGACTGATAGTTGCTGCCAATGGCTGCTAACAGCTAACAGCTTAGCTGATGTCAGCATGGATTTGTTGTTCACAATGTAGCATTATCTGGGAAACAACAGGATGCATAAGCTGATGCATTGATAGTGCGTTTTAACTGTTTTTAAATGTATTTACTGGGGAGACCCTCTAAGAACCCTATGATCCACAAGGCAGAGGTGACAAAGGAAAGAGTAGTCTAGTTTTTAGTAGCCATGCCAAGTTGTCAACTCTTAGTGTAAGACGGTCATCAGTGAAAAAGCAGAGTTCTTGATAAACTAGTAAAAATAGTAAAAATCATTACAGCAAAGGCAAATACATGGTAACGCTTATTAATGAATCTGCTTCACTTCTTCTAGTTTTTTCTTCTGATTAGTCAATTGTGAAAACCACATTCAAGGATCCTTTTTATGTAAGTTACTTTGATTTTTTTTAATTAATGTTTGTATTTTTTAAAGAATTTTTCATGTTTGGGACTATTGTTCAGACTTCCACCAATGAGAATCACAATGTTAGTCTAGAGAAACATCAGATAAGGAAGAGGGCACACAATTTTTCTTAAGTAAAAACTCAAACAACATTGTCAAACCCACAGCGAGTGTGGTTAACAATATAACATTGTAGCAGCTCACACATCAATGCTAACAGCAGTGGTAAACTGGCAGTAAGCATACTAAAAGGAAGAGTTTGCCAGCTGTAGTGCTAACACAGCTAACCCCATTGATAACCCTCAACTTGCAGGTTGTAGCAGTCACTCGAGTCTCCCTGTGAACATAGCCAAACAGCTTGTGGTTGTGAACCATGTCTTTTAGCAGCATGTTATTTTGTTATTTCTACAAAGTTTATAATAATCTGTTGTTATTTTACTTGGAAGTCTTGTTTTCAGACTGAGGAGACAGCCCTGCTTAAAGTACAGCTGAAGTGAACCATGCACATGTCCATGGCATGAACAAGGCAGACTGTTATGGAAGACTTGTGTTTCATTATTGAATTGAAAAAACCAACTGAATTTGTTTTATGGTGGTAATTGAAGGTAGTCAAAGGAAAATAATCTGGATGAAGTACAGGCTGTGTTATTACAAAACAGCTCTGAGGACCTGACCTACACCACTCCAGTATGCCCTCATATTTATATGCAGGCTGATGACATGCGGGCAGGCAGAGCAGTAACCTCCTAACTCACCGGTCTTCAGTCAGACCCAGTTCTTTGGTCAGAAATGCAAAGATCTTGGCACTGTGCTCCTTGTTCTTGTCAGCGGTGTCAGTCACACCGATAGCAGACACCGACAGCATCAAGCATGGAGAGCAAGAGCCAGAGATCAGCATCGGCAGCCCAGGAGTCACCACCATATTCATCCTCTGAAAGATAACCACCATTGCCAACATTAGTGAAGGGTTAAATATGAAGCAGTACAACAGGGAGGGAAGAGTGAGCAAAAATTCACAGTACTTTATTTCAAGGCCATACCAACAAAGACAACGTGAGCACATTCCCCACTGTGAGAGGTCATTCAGAGTCATTCAGAGTAAGAGCCTTTACTCTGACCATGTGAGGGAGTGGATTTTAAAACGATCAAAACCAGAACAGATACAACAGAAACAACAGAAACAGTATCAGTGTTAACTGAAGTTGGGCTTCCATCCAAATGTAGCGTGGATGGAACCAAATTTTCAGAAAATCTGCAAAAGAAAATGCAAATGTATGTGCTTTTCCATCCATTGCTGTTATGGGAATACTGGAAGCTTGTTCATTGACATAAGCAGTAAATGGCACTAATTCCCCAATCAGGTGCGACTGTAGGAGAGGGCACAACGCAATGATGTTATTAAGAGCATAAGACAGACCTCAAACAAAGAAAAACAAAGGGAAAAGTATAATAATGGAGAGCACATTGGTGTGTAACAGCTTTTTGCTCTTGATAGAGTTGTGGCAACAGCCCTCTGTGAAGACACGAGCATGTTAAAAGCCATACAGAGATGATGTAGATCTCACAGCGGTTGACGACACAACGGTGACATTACAATATCATTTATGCGCTCAATCTGTTTCCAGCCAGTTCATCTGTACACCCCGAGACACATATAATAAGTCTGCTTCTGCAGGCTGGACAATTGGCACATATGAACATGTCATAAATGTTGTATCTCAAATCTTTGATTTACATCTTCTTTGATTCACATTAGACACTGACACATACAATACAATAGCCTGTAATATAATAATTTAATACTTTAATAAAGCACTACTATATGATTGTGGTATCATAATATTAGCCTATATTATTAATCATATTATACTACATGATAGTATTGTATTTGATATTGGATACATTATATTGGTGGTTAATAAATATCCTTGGAAGATACATATATTGTAACATACCAGTATGTATGTATATGTGTGTGTGTGTGTGTGTGTGTGTGTGTGTGTTCATTCAATTATGAGCAGTGTGTGTGACTTGGTGGTTACACTGGGCGAAGAATTTAGGGCCCGGGGGCCAGGGTATTCTCTGGTGAGAATGTGTTGAGGTGCTGGAAGTACATACTGTAGCCAATGGCTGGAAGCCTCTGCTCCAATAATCAGATGGTTAAAGCTGGTTTGACATGTTGGTAGGAGATTAATGTAAAGTTACTTCAGTGTTAACTACATATGAGACCTTAATACTGCTACAAGCGTCTGAGCGGCACAGAGAGGCACATATGAACATACTAACATTCCTGTACATAACTGTAGTGCAGGATTTATGCAATCCATGTGTGCTTTAATATGGACACGCACAGCAGCTTCATGCAGGGTGGAAGGTTAGCTGGAAATGTACTCACGTCCTCTGGTTTTCCCAGAGCAGCGGCGGCACAGGAGCACAGCTTCTTCATAAAGTCCTCCGAGAAGGAGCTGGCCGGTAAGTTACTCTGCACATTAATGAAAGGCATCTTTCTGACTGCTGGAATGAAGTCCGCTGATAACTGTGTGTGAAGGTGAGGCCGAAAGACCAATTACAAGGCAGCGACCGTACACTAGTTCTTCCGGTTGTAACTTTCAAAATAGTAGCATGTAGCATGAAGTGATTTTGATGAAATATCATTATTTGAAGCTCAAATTTGTTTTCTTTTTTTTCTCTTTTTTTCCTGTCAGAAGCGTTGGTCGCAAATGATGAGGCCAGGCACCGTCTGAAACCTGAAAATCCAACAGTAATTTCTGTTTTTACAGTTTCAGGCTATTATAAATGGAGTGACTTTCACAATTCTTTAAAGAAAGCCTACATGCTGGGTTGGAGAGCATGTTTTCTCTAAAAAAATCATGCAAAAATAAATACAAAATACAACCCTTTAAATACAGAAATAAAAAAAACAAATCCCTCCCCAGGGCTTACATGTCGACCACTCGCCCCTCATAAATGACTAACAGTACCTTAAATAAAAAAATACATTTTTCTACCCAGTTAGTTTTCTCCAGTTTCTGGTTATATTTTGAAAGCAGACCGGATGTAGCACTCTGCATGTGTTGACGCAGCTACCATGGATCTCTTACGACATCTATTACGCTTTACGCGTCAATGTTTTAATCCACTTTGCTGTCAGCATTAGTTTGTATATAGGGCTTTCTGACAGAGGGCAATTTCTTGGTCAAGGTTATGAAAAAAACATGACATGGATTAGATGTATGGCAGAAGGGCAAACTTTTCCTTCTTCCCCTTCTTCTTTAGAGTTTTACGGAAGCCGGCATCCGCAATGTTGCAGCGCTGCCACCCTCCGGACGTAGTCATTACTGCACCTTCTTCATTTTCCTTCTGACCAGTCCAGAGTATGATATTTCTGTTGAATCGTTTTTCCTCATTTCAGTTAGCACCACTTCTCTTTCTGCCACATGACATGACGCAAGTACACATTGTGCTGTCTCTGGCTGCCAGCACCACTCACATCACCTGGATGGGTGCTTCCCCATGAGTAGTGTCCTGTTCAAACTGGTGTGTCCTACTCTCATTCTGGCCAACTTTACTTCCCTCCTCTGCTCTCTGTTCTGCCCTCTCCAGACTGTAGTGAGTAAAGGTGTCTCCCTTTTGCCTCCTGCTCTCAGTGCTGTTGCCACTTCTGGTGTTTTTTCCTTCAGATCTAGATAATTTTATGTTTACCTCTGTGTCTCTCTTTTGAACAGCTTCCTTTGCCAGCTTTTCCTCCTTTATATTGCTCAGAATGCCAATTTATGCTGGGACCCATAATAAAGTTATCTCACTTCCCCTCCTTAGTACTCTGTTAAGGATAGTTGGGATTATTTGAAGTGGGGTTGTATGGGGTATTTATCCCCATCCCCAGTCAGTGTATTACACACAGTTGATTTATAATATTCATTTATATAATAATTAAGAGTTTTTATTCTGTGTTCTTACAAAGGTGCATGCAGGTTATCATATAAAGTGGTAAACTCATGAATGTGCACTCAGCACATGCTGAGATGGTCACAGAGCTCCCCAAAGCGTGCACTGCTGCATGCTGCAAAACCACGACCATCCAGGGGAGATACCCAGTTTTAGAGAGTTCTGTGTCAAGTTGACTTCAAAGCACACTGTGTTCCTGGAGGCTTGGTTGGGTAGCTACGAATAAGATGCCAAGCTTTAGTAAAAACGAGAGCAAGGAAGGAACTGTTCTCCTCAACAGAACCAAGCAGGACAACTTTGCTGGTCCATGTCATTCATTACAATGAAATTCTTGGCCAATAAAACAATGAAAAGCTTTCAAATAAACAATTATAATAAATATTACAGTACAGGACCATTTGTGGCAAAACACAGAACATGACAAATAAAGTCAACACACGCTGACAGAATGTGCAAGTACAGTAGATAGCAGCTATTTATTAAAGGTTTGTCACTGAATATACCAAAAACATTTCATACATGACACAGTCATCAATCAACAAAACCAACAAGCTCACTGCCTGAGGTACACTGTACACTTTTGTATTATGTGCTCATGTCTACATTATGTTTCATTATTAAAATATGTCTGCCATGACAGCTGACACTGATCCTTCACACCAGTGATGTCACACCTACAGAAAACAGAAAGAAAGAGATCAACATAGCAAATACTTACATCATATTATGTCATTTTAAACAGTGAAGAGTTGCTGCAGCACCTTAAGAGAACTCAAACATCATAAAACTGTAAAAGTTCATGATCATGTGGTGACAACTGTTGTTATGCCAGGTTTAACTGAATGTAATAAGTGTTTGTGACATAGAGCTTACACAGGCTTGTGGCTTGCTTTGAGAAGAGCTGTATAATGTGGCTCTTGTCATCATTTATCAAAGACTCACCATGGGAGTACTTGCACTGTTTGAGCGCCTCATTGAAGCCCTCACATAAACTCAGGTCATTCTGGTTGGTGGCACAGTCCAGGAACTGTTTGACCTCAAAGTGGCAGGGGCCTGGCTGGGCTGGAGCGGGCCGGGGGGGCTCCTGGAATGATGAAAGCAAGGAAAGAAGCAAAGAAACACTTAGAATCCAAGAAAAACCAACAGTTCAGCGACAACTTGACAAGCAAAAGTCAAGGTGTTTTTTCAGTTGACAAGCCTTTCCAGAATGTCTTCAAATATTAGAGAGAGAGAAACAGGTTTATATTTCTAAAAACATTTTTTAGTTAACAAAAAACACTAAAGTTCTCAAATGCTGAAACACAAGCAGCTGTTCAACAACTTTCCTTTAATGACATACAGTCTAAACTGTCAAAATCACTACTTAAACTGGGAACTATGTGATAACAGAATAAGTAAATAAGATTATGAATCTGAGCTGACTTTTAATGCCAACTTTGATACTGTTTGATAGTTGAATGATATCCCTTTCCAATCAATTGTCTCTCCATATAATAAAATCATGACAAAGTCCTCATCTTGCATGACTCATACTTGTCATATCTAAATGAATCAATACAGCATGTAGGATTTAGGGGGATTTAGTAGTGTCTAGTGGTGAGGATTGCAGATTTCAGCGCAGCTGAAACTTCTCCCGAATAGAGTTCTCTCAGGGTTTATCGTTCAGCAGGTTTTTAACGTAAGTCAAATTATCTGCAGATGTCTCCTCCTCTCCAAAACAATCCAGGTGACCGGGTGATTTAAAATAGAAAAAACACTGAATAAAGCAGTTTCACGTTAGAAAATCTGTTTTTCCAATGCTCTCATTGTGGAGGGGCCTCTAACTACGGTGGCCGATAGGAAAAGTCAAATGGCCCCATTAAAAGCCAGTGCTAGGTTTGTATGTTCTGGTCTACTGTAGAATTGGGCCGTGCAAAATGGCGATCTCTGTAGAAGAGTAGATAAAAATGGCTCAACAATTGTTATGTTAAGGTGACTATTTTTTTATTTATTTTTTTTTTAATTTTATATACTTTATTAATCCCCCTGAGCAGAAATTCAATTAAAGAACACACTAAAGAAGCACACTGAAGAAAACATACTTGCACATACATAACATACATATCCCCCTACATCCTACACACTGGACCTTCAAGACTAAAACCTGTACGTATGCATGAATATTATTTTAACAACCACACCACATTTTCCTTTAGAATTTGATTTTTTTTAATTTTTTTTTTTTTTACTTCTAAGATCAGCTTGTTTTTATAGATTAAAAAAGGAGGTGCAGAAGCAGCAACGCTTCTGGTGATGTTTACTTTAAAGCATGAGTGCTCCCACGTTGATCTCCAGTCTCTAATAATTACAATAATAATGCTTGATCATTTTTTTAAACTGATCTGCAGGTGCTCTAGACTTCAAATCGTTGGGCCAGGCGGAGAAGATTCTGCCACTGAACAGCTCCAGACAGGCAAGGGGAAAAACACCAAGACAACACAAACTTTAAACACAACCTGACGTGTTGAAGTCTAGTTCAGATGTCTAGCCATTATAATCCTATGTCTGATTACACTCCACCTCTTACCTGATATGTAGGCTTGGCTGGCTCCGAACTGCTGCTGCTGCTGCCACCACCACTAAATGCTCCTGTGAGGGCACTGCCAACTACGTGGCCCACAGCCGAACCTACTGCCACCCCAGCAGCTGTGGTAGCCATCTGCGCCATGAGGCCTGGACCCTGGGACTGAGCTGGAGCAGGGGCCAGGGAGGAGGGAGGTGGATGAGCAGGGGCCGGAGCATAGGATGGAGGTGGGCTACAAACACAGCAAAAACCGTACAGGCTTGTGAGTTAGAGAGGCTTACAGGGACATGGCCCAAGTGTCAACTTTGAAAGCTCTTGTGTGGCATATCACCACCTTTCCTTTCCATTCATCTGTATCAGAAATACAGATTATGGAGTATTAGTAAGAATTATACCTCCATACAACACACTACAATATTTATATTTATCTTATATCAGGCAGGCATTTCTCTCCAACTGAGGCTAAAAAACCCCTGATTATTTGTTAGTCTATAAAATGTTTAAAATAAGGTCAAATATCTATCACAAGGTACCAGTGATTCATTCAAATTGCTGGATATGTTTATAAAAACAAATGTTACAGGTAATCACACTGAAGAAGTAGGAACCAGCTCATGTTGATGACTGTTAGTTGATGATAGACTACATGATTAAGCGGCTAACTGTCCACACAGGATCAGTTATCCAGACAGTGTTACCTAACCACCACAGACCTAAAGTTAAGCTGCATCAGTGTTCGATGGCCCACAAACACAACCTTCCAAAGTCCAATTCTGAATTGTGAAATATTTACAAGTATTTTCTAGATGTCTTTTACTTGTGTTTATCATCAGTGTTGCTCTCTGACATTAGTAACCCCCACTTTCATTTACTTGCCACATTATAATAGAGCAAAGCAGAAATATATTCAGGCCAACATCACACAGTAAAACTACACTGTGATGTTGTGTTGGTGAGAGTTTGAGAATTTGTCTAATGTCTGTGTTGTCGTCACTAAAAGACTAAAGGTGTACAGATGAACTGTCACAACTTTTGTCATGATGTTATTTCCATACAACTGAGTGCCATATGTCGGAGCACAGAGATGTAAAGCTTCCAGGAGTCTCCACAGCTCCTCTCCAATAAAACTTGAAAAACCTTCGCAGCTCTTTCCTAACTTGCCTAAAAGAAACCTTATCTGTTACACAGTGACCTTGCCGAGACCTAACTTCACTTAGACCCGACATGGTTTCAGTGACTTATGACGCAACAATAATTAGGCTCTACTGTATGTGCCGTCCGGTGTATTATGTCGTTAATAGCATCACTACACACTATCTGAGCTCTGCTGTCTATGTAATATATGTTTTTAAGGCTGAAGTACTTTCTTCAAATAGGAAACATAAGACTATCTGCGACATCCCAACAGCACACAGAGTCAGCTGTGCAAGTTATAGAAAAAAGTATTTACCTGGCAGGAGCTGAGGAACGGCTGCGGCTTCCTCTGGCCATCTCTGAGACGACACTACACTTTGTTTTATTGATAAACCGGAATAAAGACCGGGAGAGCTCTGTTGCCGCTTCGAGAAAGTGCTTTCCACACAGACTGCCCTGCCTGGGTCGCCGCCAGCTGACAGCAGTAGTTTACGTGCACGTGCAACTGACCTTGCGAAGCCGCCGGCTACGTACACAAATGTCGCGAGACTTAGCGCGCTGTCCTAGAATGCCAGAGGTTTTCTTCTGCTGTGAGCTGATTGCAACTGTGGACACACCTCCACCTGCTGGACTGGAGTGCAGGCGCGTCACTACAGACGCTACAGCGTTTGGTTCCTTTTCTAACAAGTTCCTTTAAAATGTTTCAGCCAATTTACCCATCTGAAGAAGAGTTGGAAAGATTTAAGCTATAAACACATTATACATGTTTATTTTGGACAGATATACAAAGCTTTAGAAGTAGGAAAATGGGCACTAATGTACGGATGTATGTATTAGGGATGAGCGAGTATACCTTTATCTGTATCTGTGTCTGTAATTGTTTAACCATCTAAATTAACTGTATCTGGGCTTAAAATGGGCGAAGTTTATACCATGGTGGAGTTTAAATTGAAACTGGGTGGGAACTAATCAGAAGTTTTTATTTTAAGCCTGAAACTAATATAGGTTGAGAAGTAGTTGTAGCCTATTTATTATTTATGAGAAAACTATTTACATACACCAATCTCCAGAATTAATTAATCAGGTCATTTTTGATCAAAAGAGTAAAAGATTAAACACAATTACCCAGATATTGACACATTTTACTCATATAGTAGTTGTATTTGTATACAGTATGTCATCCGTACAGGATATTCGTTTAATCCAAGTATTCGGCTCAGCCCTGTTTAATATGGTGTTATATTTTGTCTTCTATGGGATGGATAGCAATATTACCTGTATCATTCATCCTCTTATCATTCTTGGGTAAATCCCATATCCACAAATTGAAATGGTCTGACTCCAAACTTTGCTTTAAACGCTTTATTGTTGAACTCAAGCACATAGCACCTCTCTAGAAGACAAAAAAAGTTACAAAGACTTTCAATATTTTAAAAGAAGTACAATTATTGAACTCTGAAAGGACTTAATGTGAATGGACTTTTAACACCTCTGGCATTTTGTTGTTTTCTCATGACAATTGTTGTATACTTCTGTGTTTTAAATAAAGGTTTTGAAGGAAAAAAGAACCTTCTCTAACAAATTCAGATGCATAACTTAAATGCTGTTTCCACATAGCTTTTTCCTCCCATTCTTTGTCTCGTCATGCTCAGCCTTTTTGTGTTATTTTGAACACTCATCAAACAAAGAACTCCTAAAGATCATTTATACATCTCTCAAAGCTAATTTGAAGTATTAAAATATATAAATTCATTTACCCAAGTACTGCACTCAAAAATTTAGGAGTTTTTCCATTTCATTCTATTTTATACTAACATTTCAGAAGGACATACTTTACTTTTGAATCCACTACATTTGTGACAGCTTTAGTTATTAGTTAGCTAATTGATCAATACTAAACATAAAGAAGAAAGGCCATGATCCTGTTATAAAAATGTGATGCATTCTTACAGATTAAAAAATCTACCTGGAACACTAACATGCTGCTACATGTTAATACATTAGTCATAACAATAATAATTATCCATCTATCTATATCTGTCTCTCAGTCTGCCTGTCTGTCATTATCTTATCTGTGTGCCACACTAGCTAGAGATATTGAAGGGATAGACACCTGCACAGCAATCTCTAACAGCTTGATCATTCTTGTCTCATTGTATTTATCATCATATCACCCACACTGAATTATAATATTGTAATATACTGACAGGGGCCATTCTGCATACAAATGCAAATGACACTTCTGTCCTTAATAGGGTAGGATTTTGAACGAAGTACTTTTGTGTTGAACTTTAACTTTTAAGTAAAAGGTCTGAACGGGCCTTCTTCTTCCGTCACTAGATATAACTGTGATCTTCCTGATATNGCAATTGTGAGGTGCGCAGCAGCAGATCTCACAGCACACTGTTTATAAACCAGTTTACCAGTTTAATTGCAGGAAATGTTTAGTTGTTAAGCCATTTCTCATAAGTATAGACATTCACTCTGCCTGTTGGAGAGATAGAGAAAAGATTAAAGCGTCAAATTGCGGTAAAAGATGCTGTATAAAAGACAGGCTACAACTTTTTTTCCTTGTCCCTCCTGGAATTATTCTCTAAAATTTTACTGTTTATTGTCCCCCCCAACTATGAAATGGGATTTTCGCCCCTGACTGTGCATGTGCAATCCCCCCATGTTTGACCCCGTGTCTCAGCCTTCTCTTGAATAGCCTTGTGCAGCCATACAGTCTTGAGAATTCCAGAGGTTTTCTTCTGCTGTGAGCTGATTGCAACTGTGGACACACCTCCACCTGCTGGACTGGAGTGCAGGCGCATCACTACAGACGCTACAGCGTTTGGTTCCTTTTCTAACAAGTTCCTTTAAAAATTTTCAGCAAATTTACCCATCTGAAGAAGAGTTGGAAAGATTAAAGATATAAACAGATTATACATGTTTATTTTGGACAGATATACAAAACTTTAGAAGTAGGAAAATGGGCACTAATGTACAGATTGATGTATTTGATGTTAGGGATGAGCGAGTATACCATTATCTGTATCTGTGTCTAATTGTTTAACCATCTAAATTAACTGTATCTGGGATTAAAATGGGCGGAGCTTATACCATATGAGGGTGGAGTTTAAATTGAAACTGGGTGGGAACTAATCAGAAGTTAGGTTGAGAATAAGTTGTTGTATTTATTATTTATGAGAAAACTATTTACATACACCAATCTCCAGAATTAATTAATCAGGTCATTTTTGATCAAAAGAGTAAGAGATTAAACACAATTACCCAGATATTGACACATTTTACTCATATAGTAGTTGTATTTGTATACAGTATGTCATCCGTACAGGATATTCGTTTAATCCAAGTATTCGGCTCAGCCCTGTTTAATATGGTGTTATATTTTGTCTTCTATGAGATGGATAGCAATATTACCTGTATCATTCATCCTCTTATCATTCTTGGGTAAATCCCATATCCACAAATTGAAATGGTCTGACTCCAAACTTTGCTTTAAATGCTTTATTGTTGAACTCAAGCACATAGCACCTCTCTAGAAGACAAAAAAAGTTACAAAGACTTTCAATATTTTAAAAGAAGTACAATTATTGAACTCTGAAAGGACTTAATGTGAATGGACTTTTAACACCTCTGGCATTTTGTTGTTTTCTCATGACAATTGTTGTATACTTCTGTGTTTTAAATAAAGGTTTTGAAGGAAAAAAGAACCTTCTCTAACAAATTCAGATGCATAATTTAAATGCTGTTTCCACATAGCTTTTTCCTCCCATTCTTTGTCTTGTCATGCTCAGCCTTTTTGTGTTATTTTGAACACTCATCAAACAAAGAACTCCTAAAGATCATTTATACATCTCTCAAAGCTAATTTGAAGTATTAAAATATATAAATTCATTTACCCAAGTACTGCACTCAAAAATTTAGGAGTTTTTCCATTTCATTCTATTTTATACTAACATTTCAGAAGGACATACTTTACTTTTGAATCCACTACATTTGTGACAGCTTTAGTTATTAGTTAGCTAATTGATCAATACTAAACATAAAGAAGAAAGGCCATGATCCTGTTATAAAAATGTGATGCATTCTTACAGATTAAAAAACCTACCTGGAACACTAACATGCTGCTACATGTTAATACATTAGTCATAACAATAATAATAAATTATCCATCTATCTATATCTGTCTCTCAGTCTGCCTGTCTGTCATTATCTTATCTGTGTGCCACACTAGCTAGAGATATTGAAGGGATAGACACCTGCACAGCAATCTCTAACAGCTTGATCATTCTTGTCTCATTGTATTTATCATCATATCACCCACACTGAATTATAATATTGTAATATACTGACAGGGGCCATTCTGCATACAAATGCAAATGACACTTCTGTCCTTAATAGGGTAGGATTTTGAACGAAGTACTTTTGTGTTGAACTTTAACTTTTAAGTAAAAGGTCTGAACGGGCCTTCTTCTTCCGTCACTAGATATAACTGTGATCTTCCTGATAATCCTGATATTTCTCTGCTGCAGTCACACTTTATTTTACATTTTGTGTTGCATTGTTTTCAGCTTGCTGGAGCTGCTACGACATCATTTTACCCACATCCATAAAGTTACGTCTTATCTGCCTCTACATAAAGTTAAGAGTAAATGGTCCCATTGTATGTACTGTGTTGTGTGGCAGGTGCGCTCCTGGACAGAGGGGGCGCTGTTGTACTGTAGTGCCTACTGGAAAACTACTGTCCTACATTAACGCTGTTGTGCAGCCATCATATCAACAAAGACTCCGCAGCCCGGGTGTCCACGTTTTTCTCAGTTATTTTGACCAAGTTAAACTATCCAATTATGCATTTCAGATAGCACTGCTACATTTTACAACTGTCGGTACCGTTTTAAGGACAGCACACGTCCGTTTCCTCCATTTAAAAAGCCGAGTATCACAAGCTCACTGTGACAATGTCGACTGCCGTGAACTTCCATTCTCAGATTGCCTCCATCATGGAGGTGCTTGCTAACGCAGCCGTCGCAGAAATTTGTAAAGTTGTGGACGACGGATACGCAGAGGTTCACGTGGAAATGTCCCGGAGCCAGAAGGAGAACGAGTTCCTGCGCAGGAAAATCAAACTGCTGGAGCTGCAGATCGCCAGGTACCGGGCGGAGAGAGTCAAGGGGTCGGAGGGCTTCATCGGCAGCCGCTTCCCCGGGGTCCGCCTGCTCAACCGGCAGAACAGAGACGCACTGGCGGGTATGTAGCCCCGTTAATGCTGAACCCCGCAATCCCCAGAAACCTGGATGAGGTGTTTACACGCCACTGTGTCCTGGTCTCTATTGGAGTAACGTTGTACCAGGTAGTATAACAAGGTTTCAGAAATCGGGATATGATATGTGCATCTGTAACACATAGTCCAAACACATACTCAAAAACCCTGCTCAGAACCAGGACACTTATGCACATGTGTTTGGGTTAAAGTCTTAAGCCATGAACCTTTCTGAAACATATAGGCAGTGGCG